TAATGATGCCTTTGGGTCTCTCTCTGGTCCTTGTACATGCTCCTTATCATCTAGAAAACTCCTTGGCCTTCAAGATTCACCTCCTCATGATACCTTCCCCGAAGTCAAAATCAAACACCCCTCTGTGCTATGAGGAGTACTTTATTCATAGTATTTATCATGCCAAAGTCAAAATTCCTGAATTGCAATTACTTTCTCCAGGGAAAGACCATTGTCTGAATTGGAATTGTTCAAATTTGGTGTGTTATACAGTATCTGATACATTGTAGGTACTCAATATATATCACAATGAATGAATGATAACTAAAGTATCATTCTTACAATTTACAAGGTCTTTTCACATACTTGTTTTTATTACATTTTCATAATATGTAAGCATAAGATTGTTTTTGCTATAAAAGGCTGTACTATTATTATTATTATAAACTGAGACTTACTCAACTTCTCCAACATCTTACCCAGTTTCAGAGCTTTAAAAATGCACAAAATAACCACCAAACATTTTTTTTCCCTTTATTGATATTGGAGGGGGGGATAGAAACATCCATGAGAGAGAACATCAGCTGGCTGCCTCTTGCATGCCCCCCACTGGGGATCAGGCCCACAACCTGGGCATGTGCCCTGACCGGGAATCAAACTGGCGACCTCTTGATGTATGGATCAATGCTCAACCACTGAGCCACACTGGCTAGGCCACCAAATATTTTTTAAAATAAAGGCAAAAGTGAGCACATGGTTCATATTTTAAGAACATGGTAATTATATAGATCACGATAATTACCTGTGGGTATTGGTAAATACATTGCAACTTGATAATTGTACTCCAGGTTCAGATTAGAATGTTTCTTTAATTTGCCACAGAAGCTGCTATTTAGAGAGTTAGGCTAAAACCTGGAATCAGAGGAACTCTTCGGAATTATAGCGGCATCTCCAAGTCTTTGCAATTTCCATCCATTTCTTTCATGTGGCAATAATAATCAATTCAGTTAAATAATTTAAAATCAGTAGGTTCTATTATCTCCCTGAATTCTTTGAAAACAGTTGAGCCAAAGTAATAAAGAAAGATAGGTTATTTAAAACCTAGAGCAGTGTTTCTATCAAAACATCATAACTTATGAGTGGCACATGAAATCAATGGAGTGTCACTCCAGCAATTTAAAAGAGGAGTAGAATAGAAGAAAAAATACCAGAGTGTTGTATCAGGTTAGGGTATGGAGTTTTGTGAAATCTTTTTTGTTTCAACTGTATGTGTATGTGTTTACCCACTGGACTGGGTCAAAAGTTTGCCATCACCCTACAGGACACAGCAAGCTCGTTTGAGGAGTGGGATCAAGTCTAAGTAGCCACTTAATAAAATCGGGTTAAAGCCCTGGCCAGTTTGGCTCAGCGGTTAGAGCGTCGGCCTGCAGTCCAGAGAGACCTGGGTTCGGTTCCCGCTAAGGGCACATACTTCGGTTGCAGTTTGTCCCCGGCCCTGGTTGGTCGTGCGGGTGGCAGCCACTCGATGTGTCCCTTCACGTCAATGTTTCTCTCTCTCTCTCTCCTTCCTCTCTCTCCCTCCCACTCTATCTGTACAAAAAATGGAAAAATATTCTCGGGTGAGGATAAAAAAATAAATAAATAAATAAAATCGGGTTAATAACTTGATAGCATTGTAATCATGTCCCACTTGGTGTCCAAAACCCCAGTTACACAATAATAATCCCAAAAGCATAATCAACACCTGATTCATTCACCAGACTTGGCCTTAAATAACATTTAATTATTTCTAAAAGTCAAGTCCTGGCCGGTTTGGCTCAGTGGTTGGAGGGCTGGCCTGCAGACCAGAGAATCCAGGGCTCAGTTCCCACTAGGGACACGTACCAAAAATAATAATAATAATAATAAAACAAATAAGTAAATAAAAGTCAAACCCACCTCTGAGAGGTGAACATTCACTATGACAGAAACTATGCAGAATTAGCCACAGAGTCTGAAGTCAATAACAAAAATGCAGTTTGAAAATTATTCTCAGCAAAAGCAGTCACTAAAATTGGACTCAGATCACTATTTTCCAGGGGTGATCTCCTGGCATTTCTGTTCACATATTTATTGCATTTGCTTACAATCATTATATAATTTTCTTTTAGTGAAACTGAGCCCCTATGATACAGAAATCTTATTTTATTATTTCTGTATAATTAGTGCCTTTACATATATTGTCTAGCACATAGAGACATTTAATAAATGTTTGTCAAGAAGACAGTACTCATTTGGATAAGTACATGTTCTGAAACTTAATGAGTGACTCAGGTCAGAGCATATGCTAAGGCTTCCTGCCCACTTTAAAGAATATGCTTTTCAAAGTCTCTCAGCCTACAAAACAACTTTATTGGAATTTAAGATTCATAACTTTTAAAATCAAAGCAACAACATTTAAAACAAAATGAGATGTTATTTTGACACCAGATTATCATGGATGCAAGCAGGAAAATGAGCACTGTCAGACAATCTTTGTCGCTGGAAAATCGAAGAAGATAGCTTGGAAATACATAGCAAAAATATTTAAACATACTTATTTTTTAAACTATGTTTTTATTATTGATTTTAGAGAGACGGAGAGGGAGAGAGAGAGAAAGAGAAACACCAGTGAGAGAGGGTAACATCCATAGGCTGCCTCCTGCACACCCCCTACGGGGAATCGAGCGGGAAACCCAGGCATGTGCCTCGACTGAGAATGGAACCAGTGACCTCTCAGTGCATGGGGCGTTGCTCGGTCAACTGCTACACCAGTTAGTGCTATGCTTACTCTTTTATGAAGAAATTTTGCTTCTAGCTTTTTATTCTATGAAAAAAATAAGACTGTAAATACACACACAAGGATATTGATTTCAGTGCTGTTTACAATAGATAAAAATGTCTAATACTAGAAGATTAATGATGGAAATGATGGTAATTCTCACAATAGAATAGTATGCAGCCATGAAAAATAATAACATTACATTATATTGGCATAGTAAAAGGCTTAGAAAATATACTTCGAAAATCAGGTAATGAAACTGTAAACTGCAGAATATCATTTTAAAATTTTTGTGAGCTGAAGTTCACATAACATAACCATTAAAGTGAACAGTTCAGTGGCAATTTAGCACATTCATGTTATTCAGCAACTGCCACCTCTGTCTAGTTCCAAAACATTTTCATTAGCCCAAAAGGAAACCTGTATACATTAAGCAGTTGCTTCCCATTCCCTCCTTACCCATCTGTGTTCTGTCTCTATCATTTACTTATTCAGGATATTTCATATAAATGGAATGATGTAATAAGTGACCTTTGTGTCTGGATTCTTTCACCTAGCATAATGCTTTGAAGGTTCATCTGCCTGTAGCAGTACTTTATTCCTTTTTTATGGCTGAATAACATCCCATTATATGTATATGCAACAATTTATCTGTTCATTGGTAGATGGACATTTGGGTTGTTTCCACTCTTTAGCTATTGGAAATGATGCTGCTGTAAACATAGGTGTACTGCAGAATCATTTTACTTTATTTTATTTATTTTTATCCTCACCCGAGGACACCTTTTTCCTTTTTTTTTTGTTCAGAGAGAGAGAGAGAGAGAGACCCATGTGAAAGGAACACATCAAGTGGCTGCCACCCACATGACCCAACCAGGGCTGGGGACAAACTGCAACCGAGGTACATGCCCCTAGCGGGAACCGAACCTGGGTCTCTCTGGACCACAGGCCGATGCTCTAACCGCTGAGCCAAACCGGCCAAGGTCTGCAGAATCATTTTAATGATACAAGTATCTGCTGGCAGGTAATAAATTCAGGACTATCAAGAGTCATTATTTTGGGGTTACAGATTAATTTCTTTATATTACTAAGAGCTTTGGGCTTTAAAATTAAGCAGACCAGACTCCATCTCTTCATATGTAAATGCGAAAAATAGTTAAATGAAACTGGGTTATAGTTAAGAGTAAATGAAATATATGTAAAGTGCTTAGAAATACGTGGGGGCACACTGAAAACATAGTATTTTTAAAAATACATTATGTATATATTTTTGTTACATTTATTTAGAATAGTTGTCCTAACGGAATAATATTGGTGTTAAGCAAGCTCTTTATTTTGTGTGTGTATTTGCATGAAGCAAGCTTTTTTGCAAGTATATTTGCAGGCTACACACTTAAGATGCGTGTTCCTCTTCGATAATAGTCTTTTGGGCTGGTGCCTGGCAAAGGCTGTCGAATTGTTTGACCTGATAACATCATTTTGACTAACTCGAGTTCTACAGTGCAATTCTCCAAGTTTCACTTAAAATGATAGTCTACTCGCGTATTCTGCTCTCTGCCATAGCTCTGCTCCCGTTTTAGTCTTTGTTTCAGCATCGCTTCATGCGTTACACATGCAACCATGCAGGTTGTACATTTTAGGAACTGTACAACAGGGACCGGGACGGGTCACCGGCTTGTACGCAGCGAGGACAATTCTTTGCGATGAGGTGTTTCCAACTTCCTCCGGAATCTCTCCTTGTACTCCCTAGAAAATCTCAAATTTTATTTTTCATTGTTCACTAAAGTAAGACTTTTCCGCCAACTATGCAGGGCAGAGGGGTTGGCCCGGACCCCGCAGGGCGCCTCCGGGTTTGGGCAGGCTGGATTCGCCCCTGCAGCCTGGGCAGCCCCGGCGCGGGAGCTCGGAGGGGAGCCCGGGGACAGCGCTGTCCCGTGGGGAGGCCGCGCGGGGGCCGGCGCCCGGGATCCCAGTCCCCCTGGGAAGCTGCCGGCGCGGGGCGCACCCCCAGAGCCCCGACCTGGGAGTTCACGGGGGCCCGGAGGGAGGGGAGCGCACAGCCCGCCGGCGCCCGCACAGGTGTCCCGCTGGCGGCGCCCGAGCCGTGGGCCGCCGGGCGGGGGCGGGGGCCGCCGTGCGGGGCGGGGGGCGGGGGGCGGGGGGCCCGGCCCGAGGGGAGTGCGGCGAGGTGGCTCTGGGCTCCTCCTCGGCGCTCAGGTTTCCTCTCCCCGCCCGCCGGCTGCCGGCTGCGGCCCCGCCTCCCGCCCCCTCCCCGCCGCTGGGCCCATTCTGCGGCCTCTGCCCGCCTCGCCCCCGCCCGGGCCTCCTCCCGCTTTCTCTCTGCGCTTCGCCTCCAGCCTCCGGAGGAGCCCGCTGCGGCGGGGCGCCGGGAAGATGGCGACGGGAGGCGGCGGCGGCGAGGGGGGCGCGGGCCTGGGTGGCGCGGCGGGGTCGGAGCCGCGGGGGCCGGGCCCCTCCGCCGAGATGGGCGAGGACGCCCGCGGCCCCGCGCCCTCCGCGCTGCACCCGGAGGAGGTCGCCGCGCGGCTGCAGCGGATGCGCCGGGAGCTGAGCAACCGCAGGAAAATCCTGGTTAAAAACCTGCCCCAGGACAGCAACTGCCAGGTACGGGGACCGGGCTGGGTGGCGACGCGTCCTGGGTTCAGCGGGGCAGGGCTCCAGAGAGACGCTGCCCCCGAGGTGTCCAGGCTGGTGCCCGGCGCCTTGGAGCAGTAAGAGGAGGAGGGGGTCGGTGCAGTGACGAGAACGATCCGTCGTTTTTGCACCTCCACCCCCTGGTTTCTGAGCCTGAGGTCACCCTGCGAGGGTGACAGATTAGGAAACTGAGGCTCGGGAGAAGCGATGCGGCTTGTCCAAGGTTACGGGAGTCGAGGGCGTCTGCCTCCAAGTCCGGCCCGCTTTCTCCTTCCCCCATGGCCCCTTGGTGTGTGTGGGGGGAGGGGTCGGGAACAAGTAGTTGAAGGAGAGTGGAGGTGAGCTACGGGCTCAGTTTTGGGGTGCCTCCGGAAGCACCTTGAGAGGGGCAGAGGGTTCCGCCTGGGGTCCTTGGCACTTGGCTGTGCCATGGGGGGCGGGCTCACTGGAGAGCTGGAAGTGAGTTTTCCTGTTGCAAAAGCTCTTGACCAAGTTTGTATGAAACAACTCTGTCCCTTCAGTTTAAGGTCGTGGAATGGAGAGGTTATCACTCCGCCTTGGGAGCCTTGCAGCCGTCTTCTGCATGCCAAGTACTGGAGGATTTATCCCGCAGTGGCCAGGAGGAAGCTTAAAGATAGGCTACTTTGTGTCTTTGATCCAGAGTAACTGTTGTTTTAAGATTAGAAGCTCTGCATTTATTTAACTACTCCCACCCTTGATTGCCGAGGTTACATACTCTTTGTAGTAAAGTAAGAAAATACAGAGAAGGGAAAAGTGGGGAAATTGACAACACCCCCATTTCTGATACTTAAAGATGACCATTGTTAGCATGGGATATTATTACTCTTCTTTTCCTGTGTGTACTTATACCTGTGTATTTTTGTTTTACAAGAAGAAAAAAGGAGAGAGAGGATATCTTTGATTCTTTAAGGTTTCTTACTTGTTTATTTCACATATAACTTGAATTTATGTATTTTGTGTGGATGGGAGGGTGGGCTGTCCTGGTAGTTGCAGATTTTCGTGTAGTTCCACCTGTAACCAGAAGAATGGAATTGCAGGTAGGCTGGCTATTGACCATAGCAGGGCAGTTCTTCCGTGATCCATAATATTGAGACTAGTGCCTCATCACTATGTAATTAGACTTTACATTGCCACTCACAATAAATGTGAGCATATAGCCTTATAAAACCCATAAGCATGAGGAGCCATTTTGTTTCAAAAAGCAAGGTAAAAAGTCTGTGTCAGCCTTGTATCTCATCCCTTTTTCAAATCTATCACTGTCAACTTTCCATCGGGCAGGTAATGTTCTGTGATGCTACCTTTAAGGATACCTGTAATGGACTGATTTCACAGAAGCAACTTTCCCCTCCCCACACAACTAGAGGAGAGCAAGGGAGCTCAGAAAGAGGGAGGCTTGGAAGAGGCAGATGGTATTTTTTAAAAAGCACATTGAAGAAATAGCAGCTCTATGCATAGATAATCTAGGAAAAGAGAGATGGAGAAGGGTCTTGATTTCCTTTGTAGAATGTCATTATTTTTTTTTGTCACCTTTCCTTACATTCTGAAAATATTTAGACCCCAAATTTTAGAGTTCTATCTAGACTTGCTTTGTTGTTGGTATCTTTCTCATTTCCCTTCTCAAGAGACAAGAAGAAATAGAACAAAGGGTCTAATAAAAGGAACAGTTTTAATTACCTGGTGTCTGTGATGGAGAGAGGTTTTATGAGAATTACAACGGGTTGGTATTTTTGAGATATTCGTTCTCTATCGTGAACGTATGTTTAGCCTAAATCTTAGGGTTTTCTTTAAGGTGACAAGCATAAATTATGGAATAAAATTGGTATAAGATCTATATGTCTAGATGAATCTATTATTGCTATGTAAAGTATCTTAAATTTTTGTTAAGTTTAATTCTTATGCCATATTTTTTGAGAGCTGAAGTTTCATCTAAAAGCAAAAATAAAATAAAATAATAAAGTTGTTAGTACCTATAAACTTGTCTTAGCATTGTTTTTTTTTTTTCTGTAATTATTATTTTCTAATATGTTTTTATTGATTTTTTTAGAGAGAGGAAGGCAGAGAGAGAAACATCCATGTGAGAAAGATCTGTTGGCTGCCTCCTGCACACCCCCTACTGGGGATTGAGCCCAACACCTGGGCATGTGCACTGACTGGGAATCAAACGGGGACCTCTCTGTCCATGGGACGACTGTCAGTCCGCTGAGCCACAATGGCCGGGCTGTAATTATTTGAATATTTCTGATATATAGTTTGAAAATCTAAACAAATATCAATGTTTGATTACAAATAATATTTGTTTGAGTTTACTTTTTCCATCATCTTTTGTATTTTTACCTTTCCTAGTTTTTTGATTGCAATCATAACTATTAGTGATCTGTAGAATAGACCAAAGTATTCTAGTTTCTAAAAGCAATTAAAATAGTCTTTTCTTTAAATTGAGAATTGCTATTTTTATTGGTCCAATATTTACTTCATCTTTTTTTTCTCAAGTTGTAATATTTTCATAAATATATTCTGCAAGGATTTTGGTATTTTGTCTTTTATCTTAACAGTTCTAATGTCTCTTTTTTCTTAGTGGCTGCATTTTACTGTGAAATTACTAAAGAAGGTTTAACTTTATTTTGTGCCTTTTAGTCAGCATCACCCTTCTAAACTACGTATTTACTATTTTGTGCCTTTTAGTCAGCATCACCCTTCTAAACTACATATTTACTTCTTATGAAATGACTAATATGGTTTTTTAAAAAGTCACTGCTCTTTGTTTAGTTATTAAGTAATCAGATATTTTAAATATTCAAATTCTTGTTCTTCTCTAGAAGAGTCTATATGTTTGCTCATTCAATAATTCTAGACTATCACTTTGAGGATCAAAGCCATTCCTAACTCTAGTTCTCATACTATATGATTATGTCTCGTAGAAAAACTACGACGGTAACTGATGAGTAGGAGCCCAGTAATCCTTTTAACTTTTTGAAAATATGGGTATTATCTTTATTAAACATAGTTTGTTTTTGTTTTTGTTGTTAGTCCTCACTTGAGTACATTTTCCCATTGATTTCTGGATAGAATGGAAGGGGGAGAGGGAGGGAGAGAGAAACATCGATGTGAGAAAGACACATCGGTTGGTTTCCTCCTGTAGGACCCCAACCAGGGCTGGTGATTAAACCTGCAACCCAGGTACATACTCTTGACTGGAAATTAAACCCGTGACCCCTCAGTCCATGGGCCAACACTCTAACCACTGAGCCGAACTGGCTAGGGCTAAACATGGTTTTTATAAATCTTACTCAAATTTTGTTTAACTTTTGGTATGACAGATTTACAATAACATCTCACAACTTGATACTTCCTGGGATTAGAAGGCACACTGAAAGTATTATTTTTAAGTGGGAGCTTTTAAAGATACATATATCAGATACCTTACAGAAATATTAGCCCTAATAAGTTCTCCAAAGCTGTCTCATTGAATAGTTACTGGGCTGTCAATCAGCACTGTCTGGTCAGCCACCCCTGCTTTCTCGAATCCTCTTAGTCCTCTGTGTTTTTGTAGCCTCAGCTGTGGTTCATGTCCTTTTCCTCTCTTAAACAGACTATTACAGATTTTGTTTGTCCTCTACCTTCTTTATTGTCCTGTCCCTTAGGTTGTAGCCCACCCTGCTTACTGCTGCCCTTGAGAGAGCATCTCAAAGCACAAAGCTGATGTCACGCTTCTGCTTTAAAAAACAAACAGAAAATCCTTTGACTCCACATTCCTGGCTCTGCTTCTCAAACTTGCCCTCAGAGTATTCATCAATTTGTCTCAAATTGGAAGGAACAGTGAGCCTGAATTAGCTGTCTGCAAGAATGCAGAAATTGGTCAAATTGGAAGGAACAGTGAACCTGAATTAGCTTTCTGCAAGAATGAAATTGCTTTGATGATTCATATTCTGTCTGGGAAAACAAACCACATAATTTTATGTTCTAGTAAAATTGGATTTAATATAAAAACAACTTAAACTTGTTTAACTCACCTCCAAATTTATTTTTTCCATAAACTTGACACTTACGAAAGATACACTGTATTTATTCTGTGGTTTTAGAGTGAGGAAGGGAGAGAGAGAGAGAAACGTCCATCAGTTGCCTCTTGCACATGCCCCAGCCGGGCACCAAATCCGCAACCTGGATATGTACCTTGACCAGGGATCGAACCTGCCACCTTTTGGTGTATGGGAAGATGCTCCAACCAACTGAGGCACACCGGCCAGGGCCTGTGGTTTTTTTATACTCCTATATTAGCATGAGGTACTCAGAACTCAGTTTGAAAAGCATGACATGATAGGATGAAAATCTAAGATTGTAGGCATTTTGTGACTTGGCCCCTGCCTAAATTTTTAATCTCATGTTTTATTAGTCTGCATTGGATTCTATCAAGATACCTAAATCCCCAAGTCCTTCACACCACTGTGATTTGGGTATTTATAGTGATGTTTTTGAACATTAGTGTTTTGGAATGCAATCATAGTGATTAGTTTATTGTGAATAATATTGATAGTAACTAGTATAATTATAGGGAATAACAATGTTGTGAACATTGGATTCTTATTCAGAATAGCCGATGCGTATGTGTGTGAGGAGTCTTTTGCAACCCTGAATTTAGAATTTTGGCGTGTTAAGGTAATACCTTAATGTGTGTTTTTTATTGCATTTCTATAAATTGTTTATTTTTTATGGTTAACCTTGTTGTGTTTCAATAGCATTGTTACTGGGATTTCAAAGTGGAGAAAACTTTGTATTTATGTCCTATATCACTTCACTCATTTTTTTTCTTACCTATTGAATGTGTGTACGTGTGTTTTGTTTTGTTTATTTTTAAAATCTAAAAGAGATTTTATTGTGCAAGTAGAAAAAAATGTGAAGTGCTTAGGGCTAACAGCCAAGATCAGTAATAGAAGAAACATTCTATTTTCTCA